TGCAGACGTCTGGCGTGAAGACGACTCAATATATCACTGACATGCTTGAGGAGCCCGCTGCACTGGATTTCTGCCGACTGCCTCATCCCGGCAAACTCGGTGGTCGAGTGACTAAGACGTCTGCAATAGTGAGCAAGAAGTCATGGGTTCCTATCCCCTCCAGCAACCTTTTGGTGTGTTTTTGCTCACATACAGTTCTTTCTAAATATGCAGCGGAAAAATAACTTCAAAATAACTACAATTATACGACTAAATATAGCAACTGAAGTGTACCGAACATGAGTGACACAAAACGACATTTCTTTACATTTCCTTTGTTTCCCGATATTAATGTGCCTTGTTCTCTTAAATTAACTGTTGCAGATGAACAATTTTAATACAAAAATTAGCCAGAGAATCAGCCAGCTTCTGTTTATAACCTGGAAGTGGTCGAAATACTGTACCCACAAAAATGTCAATTCTTACACAAAAAAATGTAAAAGCTTCTCAAAATTCTTCACCAGTGACTCATAAACTCGTTAGCCCCCTTTTTGGCAGCCTCATTTCCTCAGACGGCAAACCACAAGCAATTTTCCTGATCTTTAGTGTCCCCCCAAACAGATCGAAAATAAATAAAAACAGAAGCTCTGAGCAGCCGACGAAAGGGGGGTGGACATTCCAGTCTCCTATACGGCAACGGAAGAACACATCCCACTTGTAGCACATGTCGCCCCAAACCAAAAACTAGGACCATCAATAAAAGTTGAGAAGCCACAAGTTGTCCTCACGGTCGTGAAGACGTTTTCCGGGGATCGTTTCAATGGACGACAGCGTAAACCACTTAACCATTATTAAATTTGAGCAGTCGTTTTCCGAAAGTTCAATGATCCCCTTCAGCTGTACTCGCCGACTGAAAACGTGCTTCTCGCTGTTCGTGTAAACAATTTTTTTTTTAGTAACTGTGACAGGTCACCGATCTTCGTTTCCCATTCAAAGTTTTGTTCCTATTTTTGATAACAATTGCCACAGGGGTGACGACGATTTCTAAACCCACGCAGTCGCACCGAAGAGCTGTAATTCTGAAAAGCCAATTGTGGGGAAAGACGAAAAAAGATTGATGTACACCTATTTTCAGCATCATAACGGAGAGGACGGTGAAACATACCGGTGCAGCCTGTGACGGAGTTGACTAGAATGGGGGGTCAACAGAGGTTGTGGTACTTCAAAGAAGTGACGTTTACATCAGCCACAATATTTTACAGCCTGTGCATGCTACTTCTCGGTAGCGACGGCATCCTCAATGTAACTTAACGGTATCTTCTCGTGAGTTACTTTCACGAACGTCATGATTTGCTGGCAACATTCCTTTTAATCAAACTGCAGTTCTGCCTGGGCGGATGTCCACATAGTTTAATCTTGATAAGAAAAACAGGGTAGTCCTGTCGAGAAGTTGAGTTGGTCAATGGGCGCGCGTTGGCTCAACGAACGAGTGGGCAAATGGGGTATGCTCCTTTGACGGCACAGTCGTGTTTACAAGTGGCTGCTAAAACTATGGTTGGCCATTGGTACAAAAGTAAAAAAAAAAAGAATAATTCGCAAAGTGTTAAAGTTCTCAAGCAGCTATCAGAATATCAGATAATACTAAATGAAAATATAACCCTATTTAAAATTAATGGGACGAATGCCAATTTTGAACGAATTTGTAGTACAATCGGAAACCAATCAAAAGGTGATATTTCTGCAAACTTTGGCCGCCAATAAACGGTCGACTGGTGCGAGTCGAGTTGGAAAACGGTCCGGCTGACTGACATTGGATAAGCCTAAGTAAGAGAAATATAAGCTACTGCTCATTACTTGAACGACGGGCACTGTTGTCTAGAACTTGGCACTGGAAATGGAAGAGAACCGACACTTGGTAATGGATTTTAAAGCCACCGACGGCAGAATGACCTCAAGCATGCCCAAACTTTCCATAGTTTTCAAGAACACTTGTCAAACTATTATTCACCACTTTTTTTTTACGGAAAACCCTGTTGCGTTCTCATCCCTGTCTGTTTGGAGTATGACTCACTAGGACACACAACTTTACTTCACATATAAGACACCCTTTAGTGTACGGAAAAACCTTTAACCTACACACGTGTCACGAAATATGTTGCCGGCAAATGAAATAAGATTTGTGAAGTGACATACCCGTGACAAGAAGGATGTGAACAAGGTCACAGAGATTTGGAACTAGTGAATAAAATTTTCCTGTGAATATGCACGAGGTCGCGAATAACCAGAGAGGACCACAACTTTCGAAAACGAATTCGTCACTGGAGGAACAATGTGGAAGTTTCTTTTAACACAGCTGAAAGGATGTGAATAGTCAACACAACTCGTGGCCTGACGTAAACAAAAGAATAGGAAAGCGAATTTAAGAACTCGCCAACGAGAGTTACCATATTTGGCCAGCATGAATGACAACACTGGCCACAGGTCGAGCGATTAGCAGCGATGACTTAGGAAGAACAATTTTCAGTTTCATACACAAGGAGGCTGGCAACAAGCGCAATTCGTCAGGCTCCTATTTAAAAACGAAAGCGGCAAACGGGGTGCACGCCGTATACCGGTGGGAAACATTGCAGGCTTATCTGGCATGCATCCGTGCGTGCTCGAATTTCATGCAAATCACGACTACGCTAAACGGGGCCACTGTGGTGATGGGGCCACGGTGGTCTTGAAATAAAAAAATGTCCTGTGATATTTGAACGAATTTTCCAATTTTTTTTCCTGATAAGCTTTAAGTTTGTCGTGTCATTTTAGTGTATCTAACGGTTTGAAGTTGTTGTTAGATTGTGTTATAAGTATATCGTTTTGCTTTCTTTGGAGTGTACACCCTGCGTGTTTTGGTTCTCAAAACTGTGACCCGAGTTATTTGTATACATTCTTTTATTTTTAAGGAAGAATGAATTTCTTTTACAAAGGAATCAAATTGATGAAAATAAAGAAAGAGAAAGCGAGAGAGAGAGAGAGAGAACACGACTTAAAACAATATTACAAACAACACCAGGAATATACAACTCAACTTCTAAAAAAAAAGGCCAGCCTTGTTTATTTGCAGCGCTAGGTGGGAACAAAAAAATGGTTCCCTAAAAACTTTCGTCAATGCAACGAGAATTCTTCAAATAATGAGTAATTGGGAAGTACCCTGTTAGCCCCGCTACAGGCGCAGCTTGTCGCCCCAAATTCGGGATAGACTGACACTGATGACCGAATAAAACCCAAACTCCTGGACAAAGGAGGTGACACAACTCCTGACTAAAAACGGCACCTGATGAGTGCACTGAGTAGCGGCTGACGATGCGGGGAACATTACATAAAAGCACGGCCTTGGACACTTCCTATTTCAGTCACTATTACCGAGGTAAGGAAGGAACTGGCTGTCCGTTATGGGTCCGGGATACCTTTGTGAGTCCAGGATAAGTTAAAGGCAGTTTAAGTTACAAATGTATTACCGTGTACTGATTCTGGAAACTCGTGCACTTTCAGAGTGTTTCAAAATGCTATTTCAACCGCAAAGTAGCGATGTTTCTCAAGTCATGGCTATATTTAAATAAATATCGGCCTTGTCAACAAATGGTTCCTGAAAAAAAAAACTACCACCGGGATGTATTTCCGGAGAATCCGTGTTACCTTTTGACACTCAAAGAACATTGAGCGTGTAGCAGATTATGACACTTGAACTATGAATCTGTTCGAATTTCTGCATTCTGTATTAAAGGGAGAAATGCTTACAGGACGACTTGGCCATGATATCTGGATTATTCTCGTTCGAGATCAGAAATCACATGAAATAAAGCTAATATTTCGAAATTAGTTTAATAACTTCACATTATTAAAGTAATTGCAAAAATGCAGGCAGACATTTCTTACAAAGGCATTACATTTCTTTTCCAACTCACTGATTCCCATTACTACAGTAATCAAATAGAAGGGTGCCTCTGGGCATGATTTCTGAATTGAGAGAGCACTGTTAACATCATGACTTTTGACATTCCGTTGTCGTGCTTGATGTGACGGCATTACGCCATCCATAAAAAGGTGCTTTCATGTTGTTCTGAAGCCATAGTGAAATGCATCAGAACAAAAGAGATGGAACAACTGGTCCTGGTCAGCTGACACTAGTTCGTTACTTTCCAAAAATTGATGAGGCATTCAGACGAACAAAAAAAAAACTGTGTTAATGCAATGTGTAGCAGCGATTGCATCAACACGACAATTGCTCACACGGTGACTTCACCCGCACGAGGGGATCGTGATCAACCAGACAGACCACTTCCTTTGGGGACGGCAATCCCAACGTGGTACCTAGCCAGGTCTGTATCCACCACACCAGAGGGGGCTCCACTCATCAGATCATTACCTTCCATGGTTTTGGGAAAGGCGATGACGTCACGAATGGAAGGCTCCCCGCACAGAATGGATATGAGGCGATCGAGACCTGAAAATTTAACATCTGGATTTTAGGACTCAGACTTTTTTTGGGTGGAGATTAATGTAGCTGTAAGTTCGTAAGATGTGGAGTAAAAGGTTTTAAAAGCCAAAAAACAACTTGTGAAACTGTAGAGGATAATTACTTCTATTAATGCGTCCTGTATTCCGGTGTCGTGCTTGTTACTAAAAAAAAAATACTAAACATGCATTTCTGGGGAAAAAGTACATGATGTGCTTGGTTGCCTTCAAGGGTAGAGCAGATTTCACTTGCTCACAGTAGTTCCGTTTGTGTTTACACAAAGCACACTAACTCCATGACAAGTGAGGATCCACGTAGGTTAAAGTCAAAGTCACAAGGCTCAGATGACAGGAAATGGATCGGTTGTAAAAAAAATTCATGCGAACATTCGAGACCAGCCAAACAGACTACTACTAGGCTAGTACTCCACTACAATTTCTTCACAAAGAAAACACGGCTATTCATCTGGAGTGAACGCAACTAACACAAAGGTTAGCGGGGTCAGCCTGTACAAAATCAGCGACAGCATTAGGCAGCTACATGAGACCAGGGGTTACATATTAAGAGTTGCAAGCCTCGTACCACACAGAAACAATCAGACACCAAAACATTCTGTTCAAGCTAAATGCCCAGTTAATTTTCAAAAAAATTCCACTTCACGCAGAGTCACTAAACTGTTTAAAAACAACACAAGGTATGACACATAGATCGCTACGACCAGTAAGCGCTTATGTACGTGTTCTTCTATACAATGCAGGAGTACAACCTTTAAAGGGCAAGAGTATTGAATTATTCAAAGACATCCAAAGTTATACTCATCTCAAATGTATGCAAACAATCAGGCATTTCTTACAGATTAAATGTACTTAAGAAACCCTCCTTGGGACATTCAATAATGTCTAATCTTTCCTGGGCAACTGATGGCGCAGTTGCTGTTCTTCTGTTCAAACAGCGAGTCCAGAAATTACACCCAGAAAACATTACTGAGAAACAGGCTGCTCGCTGGCTGCTCGCTCGCTACACAACAACGAATCACCAAAGAACAGGAAATTTGGGCCAGCGAAGTCTGAAAATATCCAGCAGATAACAATGAGGTGCTGATGCTGGGATCCCATCAGAATATATTTTGAAGGTTTGAATTTAAAAAAATTCCACCGAGGAGACCCTCCAACAAGAGCCTCAAACTAGATCTTTGTACAAGCTTACTACAGATGCTCTGATTTCCATTCACATCCCCACCTGCAGCGATGCGATTGTGACGAACGTGAAGGTTACACAGGTGAATTCTGTTCTTGCGGCAGTTCTTACGCAGTGACACCTTACTTCCAAGTTCCACTCACCCGTAAATAAAGCATGTCAATCGGCCCAAAGAGAAGCCACGGTGAAACATTACGAGTGAGAGTAAGATTCCATGAAGTGATTGACTTACCCAAAGCAATACCTCCGTGGGGCGGACATCCAGACTGCAAGGCGTCCAACAGATGTGACAAGCAAGAAGAATCCTCCTATTGCCAAACAGTAGACAGATGTAGGCTGCTCTTGTTAGCATTAACCACACCTAATGCACCAAATTATGAAAGTCTGCAGTGTAGGGGCAGGGGGGGTGAACCAGGGTGTTTTTTTTGGGGGGGGGGGTTTCTGGACATTTTTGTTCATCCAAGGGGGGGTACTACATGCAGTTGTGGGCACTGGTGAAGCCATTTTTATAACGATCTCTGTTTTGTCCTTAACCGTGTGCACAAAATAAGACCCTTAAATAATTGATTTTTTTAGGGGGGAGGTAGGTTCCCAATAATGAGCAGGAGAATGGGGTTTGACCCCCGACACTGCCCCCTGGATCCACACCTGGGGTGAGGGACTGAAAGTACATAATTTAGCATATGCTCTACCCAGCCTATGTGAGGCGAAACATGAAGTCATTGCAGACAGGTTTTTTTTTTTATATCCGATGTCAATTGAACAGTCCCACCTCTCTATGCATTCTTGTAGCAGAAAGTCCGCATTTAATGCATGTCACCTTTCAAGGCACATCAATCCCCATGTAGCCGGTGGGATCTATGTTCCTTGATGAAACCAGACTTTCACAAATGTATGGAAGCTATGGCTGCATCCGAATCTGTTGTCTAGAGCTAGGTCTAAGTCTTCGCTCCATTGGAAATGCGTGGAGACGCGTAGACAATAGACCTAGCCGTAGCTCTGGAAGCCTGTTTCAGACACGGCCTATGCTAAGGGAAAGAAATCAGAATGCATACCTTGAGAACTTTCTCCAAAACATATTCCTGTAGCTCGGCATTGTGGATTCGGATAGATCCCCCGCCAATCTCTGCACCGTTCAGTACTAGATCGTAATGTTGACCCTTGACCTTGAAAGGCAGAGAGAGGGTACACTTGAGCTAGGTGTTGTACACTGTCTATGTTCATGTGCCACAAACTTACTGGATTGGTCGATTTTCTTGAGGAACGACTGGAAAAGATCTTTACTCATACTAACATAAAATGAAATGATTACATACACAATCACACTTTCCTGGTTCTGAATCTCTGAATAAACACCCTATAAAAACAACGATCAGCAGCCAACAAATCAGTAATTAATCATGCAATCTGGAAATCAAAACTTTACAATCATAATTCCCTGGGCATTTTGACTGGAAGAAAACTGATGGCAAAGTTTTAAGGCGCACCAAGTTCCAAGTAGAATTACAGGAGCAGAACTCAACCCTCGTCAGCTCCTACCAAATCCTACTAAACCACATGGTGGATTTTGACAGATCTGGAACAGACAGGCTCAGAGGTATTTCAGGGGGTTTTTACCTCCAGAGGAGAGGTGTATATCAGGTCGGAATGCTCGGGCACCGGGGCCGTGAATGGGTGGTGGGAGGACTCCAATTCCCCGTCCCTTCCCTCGCTGGGGAGAAATAGCGGGAAGTCCTCCACCCACAAGAAACTGTAATGGTTTGGGTCCCTCACGGGCACTCCTGGATATAAGCAGAGGAAAAAAAAAATTCGATTAGTCTCGATCCAAATATCTTCAAAATACGGTGCAGCTGATGCGCGTCATGAACATTTTAAGTCCAAACCGCAGATGCACGTGTCAAACTGCAGGAAGTGTGTCACTTGAGAGACACCCACAGAGCTCCATAATCTCCAAAGAAAGAGCAGACTTTTACCACTGGGAAAACTGATCCAGAGCTACTTTTTAAAAAGGAAATCTAAACTTGAATTTCCACTGATGAAATTCGGTTCATATCATCATTCATTTATTTCTCAATCATTCCACCCATCTGCAAGAAAGAAATTCTGCACCAAAATCAAGCAGTTCTAACCGTTAACGACTGAGTGATGAAGTCATCTTTGCTGAAGATGAACGTGAAAAGAAACAGTTGTCAAAACTGGAAAAGGCCAAGTTTTCTTCACACATTGCTCCTACCTCTAGATTCCAAGATATCGGCACAAACAAGTCGTACATGTCCTAGCACTTTGGTCTGCAAAGACAACAAAATGGAGACAGCAAGTTACATCAAAGTGAAATTTCTGGAGGTTTCTCTAAAAACAATTAATAGTGTGAATGGTTATTCGCGTAATTTGATGGTTCTTTTTACTTTCTCATAGGAGAAATATGTGGAATTTTCTTTAATTTTTATTTACTTTCACCGTAAAACTGCGCAATCTCAAATTGTGTGGCATAATTGACTTGCATGGTCTTTGCATACACGCAGAACGCCTGCAAGAACCCGCTCGTAACCACCCGTCTTTCTTTTCGCCGATTGGGGTGCATTTGAGCTCGGGGCAGATTCCAACTTATGTGAGTGGACGGCTCATTTCAAATTATACAGCAACAGCTTATAACAGGCTTTTGTCTGCTAAGTGGAAATGTGCCAGTTACCGACCAAGCACGGTCTGTGATATTTTGTCTGTTTAACCAGGGTAGCCCTACATGGGCCGACTACTGCCCGACACGGATGTTTGTCTGATTAAGAGAGGACGTACCACAGTACTGCGATTGCCTGCAGCGAGGAACAACACGTCTCCCCTGGATGCATCCATAACCTTGGCCATTTCCAGCCTGCTGGTTTCGGGGAGGTGCTTGGCAATTGCAGATTTCCAGGTGTCCTCGTCTTTGCACTGCATGCATAAGACGCCGTATGGGAAATACTTTTTGGATTCATTCTGGAGCCGAGTGAAGTCGCAGTTGGAGAGGTGCTCCTACGTTATTGCAGGGCAGAAAAAGGAAAAAGGGTTTTGGATGTCAGACTCACATCACATTTACCTGCCTAGGGCTGAAATCAACCATCATATTTAACCATCACGTAAGCCTCAAGTTAGCGGCTTCATCAATTTCCTATAGACTTATGCGCTATATCCAGCCACAGCAGAGAAATTTCCGACACAGCCTAAAGCTGCATCCAAATCTGTTGTCTAGAGCTAGGTCGTCTTCGCTCCATTGGAAATATGCAAAGATGTGCAGACAATAGACCTAGCCGTAACTCTGAAAGCTCGTTTTGGACACAGCCTAATATTCATCAAATGTTAGGCACTGGCTCATCCTTGGCGGGAATGGAAGACAGAACAGGGAGAGCAAACCTTTGCAATAATATTGAATGCAAATATTCAAAGGATGAATGCTTTTTAACTATGGTGAATCTCGCTACGTATACTTTCTGACATCCAATCTTCCCCAATTCACATGAAGCAAAACCAAGGCCTTTATTGCACACAATGTCTTTCATCAGGACGGGAAACTCAAAGTGGACCTGGCCTGCATGGTTTACCATTCCACACAAGTTATGTCAAAGAAATCATGTGTATAAACTTACACACAATGCATGCAACCAAATCTTTGTCTGCAATGCAACGTGCAAGTATTCCCAAAGGCATATCAAAATACCGCCACAGGCCACTTTGCCCTGAATTTGTCCGATCACCGAGACGGGCCAACTTGCTAGTCGAGTGCAAGGTGTTGTTATTAGATTACATGTGGGAGGGCGATTGGGGTCGCATTTCAGATTGGGAGGAATAAACTCAATCTGCTTTCATTTCATTTACTGGGAAAATGGCTTGTGTGATCTTCCTGCGCTTTCAGAGCATGTTTTGGGCAAGAATGTTGAAGTAGATAATTGAACTTTGGGGAAGCCAACAATGTCCGGTTGACACAAAGACACATGATATTTAGGCAACACTTTTTTTATTTGTTGGATAACCTATTTACAAAGAGGCAATGCTGGAGGATGGAATAAAATTGAAAATAAAGATTAAATCCCAATCAAGGTCAGCCATTTATCTGTCGCAGTGGGCAGGTGAAAGAGGAAACTACCAACAGACCAGTAAAACTTAAATGAAATTGGAAATTTCTGGCCATTAATGGTAAATTTCAAATTCCTTTTTGCACGGCACAAGCACCGTAAAAAGCACAAATTCAGCAGAAAAAAAATAAATTTGACTAAATTTGAACTTTTCCCCTCAATTCCTACATCGAAAAATGCATTCCTTTCGGAAAGCGTCAGCGTCCACCTCTGACATCAAATCATGCCTTTCATTAACACAGGGTTCTAACAAGTGCAACCTTGGAAACAGCAGTCCCGGAGGTCATGAAATTTTTGAAATAGCAAAGTGTCATAAAGAAAACTATTATTGAAATTGAACGTACCAGGGCACCTTTACAATTGACTGCGCTTATTGTAAATTCATCCTCTTCGGAGTTGAATATGGAAGGACCGCATCCCTTGAGAACAGTCGTCACATCCTTTATCTGAAAATATCAAAACGCAAAGAATTCAGTGATTGGATTTCACAGCTGTACTTAGGTGAAAAATTAAGATGTAGCCAACAAAATGGAAACTGAATTTTTAGAACAGTTGGGAAAATAAAATGCAAGTACATGTATTTAACAGGTTTTTGCGTAAAAAATCACGTAAAATCCGGGGCAGGACCGAGAGAACAAAAAAGGTAAGGCCGCAAGAGGGCGCTAGTCAGAATTGTTGATGCACGGCCACGTACAGCACACATGGAACTGCGAAAACACAATACGTGCAGCTGATAAGAACAGAATCAGTGTGACTGAACAAAGGAAAGGAACCAGCGCCAGGTGAGAGTAGGGCAAGAACTTGACCTCTGCTTCAGCTGGTTCCACTCGATGAAGCGGGAAGAGCCAAAGTGGTATCCGTTCAAATACAAAGCAAACAAAGGAGGAAGTCATCTATAAGATGACAGCAAACCATTCAAGATGCATCAGAATTTGACAGTACAGCTTTTCTCGGTAAACAGTTTTTTTGCTGGGAGGGTTACAGGGGACAAAAACCAGCCTCAGTACTGCTCCAGATCTTTTTCTTGAAATCACTAATTAATGGTGTTGCTCGCTGTTAACGGTTTCGGGGGATTTATTTCAATCTTCTGTTTGTTGGTATTTCAACAGAAATTTGATGAGCAGATTGAGGTTACCAGCTTAGATATCCTCCACTGTACATCTCTAGCAAATGTTTCCCCGCCAATTTTGGCCAAGCACAATTTGTTATAAGTGGTGTTTTCTGGTCAACAATTCTCTGAAACTGGGCTGGTGAAGATTAAATGACCTGGAATGTCTCACCTTCCAGTTGAATCTTGTGTCTGGTTTATCTGAGCCATACTAGGGGAAATAGATCAGAAAGAGCGGAAGAAACCTGGAAATTATATTCATCACAGATTAAATAACAAATCACAAAATCTATACACTTCAAAACCTAAAAAAAAATAATAAAGCACAAACACAAATATGAAATTGTTCTGTTCTATTCCAGGAAGCCCAGGCTGTGAATCACTTCTTTGAAAACTCCCCCACTGAAAGGCGGACACTGACCTGTCAAATTAAGAGGATAATCAGGCAATCTGATATGTGGAATTATTTCTACCTAGTACATTGACCTGGTAGTCCAAAAGGCTTGATCAGAAATGGGAACTCAAGGAGGATAGGTTTCCGAAATAACTGTGTATGTACTTGTTACATTTTCAAAGGAACCAAGGAATATTGATGATAACACTGACTTCCACAATTTCACCACATTACCAGGTTCAGGAAATAATTCAAGAGCTCATATTTCTAATTTTCCAGCAATTGTAACCAAAGTTTACAGTCCACTCTGATTGGGATATTTACTGAGAAATCATGCCCAGATGCTTCATACCTTTGAATCTGAATCGGAATCATATAGTCAGCAAAGCCTCCATTAGGAAACATCACACCAACTTGAATCTTTGATCTTTCATCTTCCACCACTGATCCCAGACAGTCATTTCAAAAGCTTGTGAACTATACCTCTATACACCAGAGTGCAGTGAACCATCTTCAATCATGAAAATACTCTGACCCTAGCCCGAGTCAATTTTTGCGCATGCTTAACCATCCTTTGAAAGTCCTACTCCAACTCTGACTCCCAACACACCTCAGCCATTGCCTGCGAATAGTTCATCCTTGGGAAAGGCGTGCTTAACTTCGGCTTATCACGAGGCCACGAATACTCCAGAAGTTGTTCGATCATTGCATAGATGCCGTCCTTGTTGACAAAAGACATTTCAATGTCTACCTGAAAAATGGGTGAACAGACAGGTACAGTGGATACTGTGTTCTCACACGACCGCACCACAATCAACATTATCAGTAATTCCCTGTAATGGCTTTCCATGCTGAGGTTATAAATGCACTTTTAATACAGGATTCACAATATAGTGCACCACTGAGAGGTTGCCATGGAAAGGCCATTTTTCAGAGTGCATTGTGGGAAATGATCCATGAATTCTATTCATCAGCTTTGCCCGGGGAAATTAAATTATTCCCCGACGTTTGTTTGTCAGAGAAGAAGATTCCTTAGCGTATTTTGAGAACCAGTTTTAATGCAAAGCCTTTTTTTTTTACTTGGAAAGTCCTAATCTATCAAAAACTTCCCCGAGCTGCGTATTAGCATACGCTAATGCGAATCATAGCAAGCCATGCTTTTGTCAACCATAAAAGTTGAAAAAAGAGCCTCTCCGTGGCAACCTCTTGGTGGCGCACTACGCTCTGATCTTATTTTTAGCCTTGAATTACAGTATTTTTAGTCTTACACTTGAGTCCATCCAAACTAAGTACACAAAGTTGGTCACATCCAATGGGAAATATGTAAGCAATAGCTAGGAAATCATGTCTTGTTGTAATTCATTAGGACAGCTTGCAACTCGACAAGAGAGTGAATGACTTGTGGGTGACTTACGAGGACCTGACCATGAAGCAGCACTATGTCTACTTACCCTGAGAATGTTTATTTGGCATAAACTGTTTCTTCAAGTGTTCATGACAAGTTCCACAACTTTTTCCAGTTTCAAATCCCGCCAGGCAAAGAGCGCCGTCTTTACAAACAAATGGCCGGTGTTTCTCAGTGTTTCCTGCTCTTTAAAAGCCACTTGGTTTTGAAACCCCTCGGTCATGAGTTTTGGCTCCCAGACCCGTAAAAAGAATCTCACCTGTGTAAATTCTGGTTGTCTGTCTGCTCTGCTGCCTTCGTCCCTGTAGCACCTGGCAATCTGGAAGTAGCGGTCAATACCTCCCACCATCAACAACTGTTTGAACTGTGGAGGCCAAAGTGAGATGAGTGAAACTATCGGCCATCAATAACCTGGCCATGAGACAAAGGTCTGTAGCTTGGCTTCAGTGTTTTGCCTTCAGCGTGTACTATGAGGGGACCGAAATGAACTTTGGGGGATTATTTTCCTTATGTATTTTTGGTCATTGTAATTACGTCAATGTATTCTAAGAAGATTCTTTGTATCTGAAGTATTTTATTGTTTGTATTTGATTTTCATCTATGTTGACTTGATGCAATTCAATCTTTGATTGCCACATCTTTGTCTTAACAATAAATCATTTATCTCTCTAGCTAAATTGACCTGCTGAGGACTTTGCGGCAAAGTATAAAATTTGCCCCGGTGGCGTGTTGGCACCAGAAATTCTTTGGCTCCGCCTGGTGTTTTTCGGAATAAAGAAGGAGTCTCCACATCAACAAAACCTGGGGGGGGGGAAAGATAAAAGAAACCAAAGTGGGTAATGAAAACCGAGTTGGGACGACTGGTAATGTTAACAGACATGAAGAACGAGGTGCAAGGATTGAGCAGGCCCACACCTGAAGTTTTACCTCAAAATGCCACAAATACACCAGTCAGTTATTCTGCATTGCTACGGCTAAAAAACTTAACCTCTTCACTGGACATGTTTGCTTAGAACCTTCCTTAATGGTCACGAGTAAATTTCTATTAGTGCTCCTTGCCAGAAACATACAACTCATTTCGAGGAATGTAGATCCGCTTTACCTTCCACCATCTTGCTAAATCTGGGATTGCAATGGTTTACAAATCTTGTAGTTGGGTTTGATGGATTTCCCGTAAGGCCTCTGAAAAAATTTAATCCCGAACTTTCTCAGACTAGACTATCTGAAATATAACAGGTCGATGTCATCAACCTACTTGGATTAAATGAGGATGGGTGGTTTTTCTTGGATCTCAACTTGCAAAGATCCTAGAAAATCCACCTGGAGGTTTTGGAAGAATTCAGAAGACCAAGGAAGGGTAGACTACGGTCACTCTCACTTTACATGAGGTTTGGTGCTCCTTCAAAGTTTAAGTACCGAGAATGTGCTATTGGTTTCCTATACAGTGGAAAATTTTGAAGGATCCAGGGGGGTTCCTCATGACAACACCTTGGGATAAACATTAAGTTAGCCCCACAGAACAAAAGAGTTTTAAAGTGAAACTTGGGAACTTTTATTTAAATGAAAGAAAGTTAGATTCATCCGTTATGATTGAGGCCATGTTGTCCTTACCATGCTGATTACAGAGGAATTCCCTCATTCTCATGATGATTGTGGAGCGTAACCGGAGATTCCGTTGCATTCTACTACTCCTCAGATCAAGGTAACGATACTGCATCCTCAGTGATTCCTTAGCCTGCGAAATGAACAAGTGAGTCAACCGTTATACAGAAGCAAATCATTCAAGAAGGCTTCCCCTTATGCGGACACAAATTCTTTGTCCGAAAATCTTTTGGGGTTGTGCCTCTACCAAGAGCAAAAGGGCAACAAATTTGAGGCAAAAAAGCAGCAGTGCAAGCATTGCTCCAGATAATTTTCAGATCTTTAATACAAACAATAGAGTTTCCTTTCAACAATATCAGGGGATTTATGCTTATTCCTTTGATGCTAAATACTGTGTTGGATTTAAACCCACGGTGTCAAGAAGCACCTTTTGAAGACACTTTGTTATGAAAGTATTAAATGTCAAAATTGATTTTTTTTTTCTTCAGATTTGACAACAAATTAATTTGTTTCATTACCTGCTGGAAACTATTAATGTGTATGGGAAGTTTGTCTTTGCTGGGGTTTAACACTTTGATATCACTAGCCACAACTTCAATGTCACCAGTGGGCATTTTCTGAAAGAAATCAAAATGCAGAAATCAGTAAACTTTACTCACAGCAGCCCTAACCCCTTGGGGTTTGAGGTAAATCACAGAATCTTGGAGTGAAAGTGGTTTAACTCATTAAAAGGATCAACGCATCGTTGATCAACTTCAAATCAGTGGAAATTCAAATGAGAGTTGAACATGAAACTGCCCTGTTAGCCGAAACTCATTCCAAAACAGATCGACACAAAAAATATTTCCGAGTTTAAAAACATATCTGATATGCGCTTGTTCTAATCCTTTGTGCTTTACAATTCACCACACTGTACTATAATTCCATAATACTTGTCAATACTTTGTTAGATCACTGTGGCACAATCCATACCAAAATAGAACCAAAAAATATCAAATATTACACGAGTCAATATCATCCTCATCTAATGCTACACTCAAACAATCATAATGTGTCCTCAGGCAACACGATAGATACAATGTAGATATACTTAAGGATAGATACACTTTACTATGAATGAATCATTCAATGATACTTTTCAATACTTTGCTATAGAAAAAGCACTACAGCACAACTATAGCACAAGCTATTTCAAAATCCAACCAAAAAGTATGGTAGGAAATATCACTAGCAAGCAATCTGAGTGCAATATCATTGCACGGCCCTCCTATTTTTTAGAAATCCCTTCACAAAATCTATTCACTTGTGTAGACAGCTGAAGAGGGAAGGTTGATGCATACTCAGACATTCATAATGTGTCCCAAGGCAATAGGAATAGATAGCATCACACTTTCCATCCAGATTCACATGCAGTGATGCGTGCAAAATTGCAAATGTAACCCTTTAATAAGATCATCAATATGGGCCAGTTGCTCTGGCAAGTGGTTAACATCAGACTGCGGAGGACATCCAGTGCTTTGGTGCACTTGCTTGAAGGTCCCAAGGGATGGTATACCTATTTCACCCCTTGGAGCAAGATGAGAATCTCTGCCAAAAATTAATGATGGACAGCAGTTGGCTTGGTTGTGATAACTCATGAAAAGAGCATTTGACTGGATACAAAGCAGTAAAGCGCGTCTTTTAAACCCTTTTTTCCCCCCAAAAATGCTTGTACGGTTAAAATTTGTGGCGAGCTAAAGCAAATCACAGAGGCAGGACACAGGAGTTGAACTGCCCAGACTGTAACATCTGGCCAATTGCCTCTTTCTAGAATGCCTGGTATGTCCATAGCCAGAGCGCAGTGAACACTTGCTACGCACCATCTGTTCACAACCATGAAACCCCTTTGTACCATATGATTGCCGCTGCAACTTGTCAATGGTAATCTGCATCCTTAAAACTTTGTGTACTGAGGTAAGGGAAATTGAATATTCATGCCTTTGTTGGTGCTTGGTGCAGGCAGTAATCAGGCATTTTTGGAATGTTTTCTATTATTCGTCTGACTTGGCGGCGACCATCATTGAAGACTTTGAAGTGCCTGAGTTAAAACTCCTGTATCCTTCTATGAGCAAATCAATGCCAAGGAATGAAATGGATAAGATTTACAAGACAACAACACCACTGGTCATTCAGTCTAAAAGCCAAGTCAGAAGTCATTCAATTGAACTGTGACAATAGCATTCCTTTGTCATTGTTTGACAAAGTTTTCATACTTCAGACTGTTCTTGGAGAGGACTTGTGATGGAACTTGCTAAAGGACTCCTGCTTAACACGTTAACATACCGGGTTGCTCAGGCCCTCTGGCCTAAACTGCACCATGCCTTGCACCATGATGACCGATTCTAAATGGACTTTTTCCAAAGTCTCCATTTTGGGAAGTGATTCCTGCAACCAGAAAAGGACACAACAACAGTTGAATTACTGACTGGCAAAATTGCACAATTCAAAAGATTTATGAATAACTGATCAAGGAATTTAAACCAGGGCCCAATTTCATGGCGCTGCTTCACAGTTAGCAAAATAAAATGGGCTTACTATTTTGCTAACCTTAAGCACCACTTCATGGCCATACTTGGCATGGATAGTTGAGCTTATTGTTGCTCATGCATAGAGATTTCAATGATTTTTCCACTAGGCAATTTTTTTTTCTCTAAGGTAACTATGCCTGTTGCCCAGCTTACAGTCTACATGAAATACACTGAGCCTAACTGTAAAATGGTGTGCTTAGTGACACCATCGACTTGGGCCGGGCCCTGGTTGTTACAAGCCAACTGGATTTGAATCTGGATAAACACATCAAACGAACTCTCAGTGTGGGATATACAGGTTGCAAAAATTGTGCCCCTACTGGACTTTTCTCCTCACACCCCAATACACATAGCAAATGTTACGAAGATTTGCTCATTTACTTATTTAGTCAACAGAATTCATCAATCAAATGCAGCCTTTCACATGCAGCAGGGCTGATTTTATCCAAGCACATGCAGATTTATTGTTGGTGTTTTAACTGTTGAATGCCGGCCTACACACCTCATCTTTCTTTGGCAGCACGACTTGTGTGACACCAAAGGCGTCCCTCAAGGTCAGCATGAAGTCAAAGCGTTTATGCTGAATCCATCCACACAGCTTCACTGACTGGCCCACCTGTGCTGCCGATAGCTCCCCACACGAGTGTGTCCTCCAGGAAAAGCTGTTGGGATCTGAAAGGACAGATTCCGACACTGTTTAACCTCAATATCTGCCCGCTGGCTGGTTGCACAGAGAAACTCCCAAATCCAGATTCATCCATGTGCAACAAACCAGTGGCATACATTTTTTGAGCACCAACAAAATTGGAACGTAAAGGGCAATAATAGTTGATATCCCCTAAATGTGGTGTGACTATTTATAATTTTACAACGCACGCCTTTATTTTACCGCCAGAGCCTTCCATGTCTTGCTCGAGCAAATATTTACCGATATCCCTTTTCGTAATCTTACAATTTACCTAACCATCTACAATATTGGCAGGAAACTAGTGTGAATGTTTGTTGTGAGGTGTGTATGGGACTGTAGTACGGAAAAAAGGCAAAAATGTAAAGAGTTTCCCACACAGTTGGCATTAACGTTACCCAAAAGTGATATACATGTAGGCAGGCCTACATCAGCTATCAGAAAGTGATAGCATGTCCTAAAACATCAAACTTAGCAGTGAAACTGTTGAAGCATTTACTTTGAAAACACTTAGGCCCTAGAATTTTTCAGATAAGTCTCAAAGGGTCTGTGCAAAGAGACTGAGTGTCAAGCTAAGTTCAAGTGACGTCTGGTTACGGAACTCTTTCCACACTTACATCAGCTAGCCAGTGAAGCCGGTTCATATTTGACAAGAAGAAAGGAAACACAAATAGCATTTTGTGACATTTGGTTGGCCTGTATGATATCTGAATCTGCATTATCCCACCCCCCCTGAATTGTGGGGGTTCTTTGTCGCTGGAAGACGAACCCCCCCCATTTACATGCCATAGCAAATTCAAAAAGTTGAACATGTTGAACACGTTTCATCTCAAGAGAATGTCACTGCTAAAACATTTAGTGATGTCAATTTGTTTCGAGTGCTCTCACAAATGTCTGGTTGCCTTTATTAACTTCAAAAGGGGAAAGACTTCCATATATATGGATGCCACTTGATGCCCTGTGCTTGTTGTGCACAATCCCTATGGAACTGGTCTGAAAAAAAAGTGTTTTCTAAGTAAACGACTTGGTTTTTTCCTTCCTAAATTGAACTTTTCTGGACTTTTTTTGCTTTCTGACTGCTAACTTGGCTAATACGTCACTGTAGGAAATAGTTACTGAACTCTTCCCACAGTCAGTAGGTCAGACAGTGAACATGTTGCATAGGCCGTCAAAAGTCATAATTGAATTGTTCATCGGGTCATGTTCACCTCTTTTATCCTGACATTCCTCTTGAATTTTTCCATTCAGAAGCCTCTTCGTTTGATGAACACTCCATTTTAGCTGCTCACAGAAAATTCTCTGACGACATGCATTGCAAACTTTCAACATTTTCACCTGACGATGCCAAAACGGCTGCAAGCCAGGTTTAATTTTTGCTTTTTCCACAAGTGGTCGTCTGCTACGAAACGACTTCAACACATGTTTCGGTCTTGTTCTCAGGCTTAACCATGCATACCGTAGGGCACATGTCATATCACTATTATATGGGACAGACTATACTATTTCGAGGCGGCGGTCAAAGTGCGACCACCGGAAACGGAAACGAAGGTTCAAGGGTCGCAAAAACCGAAGCACACAATATTAATACGACCGTTGCAAAGTTGTCCTAAATGTAATATTTCAGCAACCAGATCCTCATTGTATTAGATTTCCAAATGTATTAAATTACTTAAATGTGAAAAATCTTCGTTCATTGACAAAAATGTGGCAAAATGGAACTATGACGTCAGGCGGAGGTGCTATTGATAAGAGTTGTTGTTCGGCAGCTGATGGCTTCGTAGAGTGATGTAGTTGTTAACGTGACAGTTTTGACATAAATTTTATGTGAAATTGTGTCTTGTTTGACTTTTTTCGCTAGAGAAACCTCTGCTTTGGCTACATAAACTCCACTGAGGCGATTAGAATAGTGCTTAGCATTTTAATGTACTTGGGAGGTTGTACACTGGTAGCGATATGTGCTCTTTAATTCCGTGTCGTGGCATTGGGCCTGGTTAGTTAGAAGAACGTAGGACGAGGCCCAAACGTTACTCCATTTCTTGAAGAGATGAGAATGGAAAACAGAAGTCATCTTATGCTCTAAAGACTGCTTGAGTAAAACCTGGTCTTTCTTGGATCTCCAAGTAGCACTTAAGCTCGGCCCCTCTGAAAAAATAAAGGGCCTTAGCCGTTAGCGTATGGCAAAGGTGTAGTGCTGTTCATAATCATTTGACCAGACACTAAGACAGTCATAAGTTCAACTCAAGATGTTTAATGCACTGAAGAAATTTGTCACCAATGAGCAACATGTCAGCAAGGGCACCATGCCCACGGGCATGCAGGCCATGGGGCAGAACCTGCAGAGAAAGTTTGCCAAGGGTGTGCAGTATAACAGTAAGTATGGTTTTTAAAAGTAAGTCAGATTGTTGAGTGAAACTCACGACTGAGCTAACATAATGTATAATGTAAATCAGTCTCTGCAAATTTCTGCATTATGAAAGTGTACTTTCAGTACTGGTACAATATGATCAGTCGATCTGCGCAATTTACATGATCGATCAGTCTTGCAGCACAGTCACACACTCTTGTATTTAGTTCAAGTTGTAACATGAGCCAACAATGTTCTCTTTGTAATTCACGTTTGTCAAAGATTGTTGTGAAAAGAAGTAAACACGGTAAAGTCAGATTTCTGACAGGATCAACTGACAGCACAAGGCAATCAATGGTTCATACTGACCGATTGTGCTCAACACTACAGTAGCATGTCATGGTGTTTGACTGGAAATTGGATTTCGTTATCTTAAGAGTCCTAAGCTTCAGATTTGCTGAAAAACTGTCTTTTATACACGCAGTATTTGTTCAATGTATCACGGAACAGTCAGAAATGCCCTGAAAGTGTTGCAGCACCACTGAATCCAAGTTTTCATCATGTCTTGTTTGCAGTGAAAATCATCATCAAAGGTGACCGCAACACAGGCAAGACGACGTTATTTCATCGACTGCAAGGGGAACGGTTCAGGGAAGAGTACCTCCCCACACCAGAAATACAAGTTGCCAGCATACAGTGGAATTACAAAGGTAAGTTGGAGCTCCTGACATCAGTGTGCTCTTGTGGTCTTGCATAGAGGTGATGGAACGAGAACTACAGTATTTATTGGTGGTTAAGGTTAATCCTCTAAAATCCTTTGGGTTGTGGCTGATGGCAAAGGATGCATTGGCCATGGTCTTTAGCTAGACCTTGTGTTGTTTATGCGCCCTGGTACATAAATGCGTATCTAGATTATAAGTGGACTTGTACGTTCTGCTCTGCTCCAGGATCATGCCATTTGCACTGCCGTAACATAATGGCAGGAATCTCTGAAAGATTGTGAAGGATTGAGGAAGTGGTGTATAAAAAGTTTTTGGGGGCGGTAGTGTTAGAGATTTGTTTGCAGGTTCAGAGTGATACATTTTTTTTTATAGCTACTGACGACATTGTCAAGGTTGAAGTCTGGGATGTCGTGGATAAAGGGAAAGCCAAGAAGAAATCGGAAGGCCTGAAGCTGGAGACGTCCCAGGACATGGACGAAGGAGATGAGCCGTGCCTCGATGCAAGGTTTCTCAATGTCTACAAGGGAGCTAACGGTGTGGTGTTCATGGTAGACGTCACAAAGCAATGGTAAACAGTTGCTTGAACTCCACCCACATCCCGCCCTCCCAGACCCTTCAAAATCTACTAGGAAGTTTTTGATGGGTTTTGAAGGGGTAGGGAGGTAGAATGAAACCACTAACTCTTACATGAAGTTGGATGCCTCTTAAAAGCTTGGGTGCAAAGAATGTTCCATTGATGCACTGCACAGTAGAGGATTTTTTCGTGGATTCAGGAGGATCGCTATATTAAACCAGCGTAGGATTTTGGAAGGATCAGGAAGATTCCTGGCAATATGCCTCAGAAATTACGTTGAGGGCGTGAAAAAAATCTTAAGCTCTTCTGTGTAAGTGGGCTTTGCTAGTCATATTATGATTCACTGAGTACAAGTTTATGAAGTGAACTTTAGATCTATTTTCCTGAACACTTGATACAAAAAGTTTTCTGTATTAGTGTGGAGTCCTCCGAAGAATAGGAGAAATCCAGTTATTTTAGATGCTTTAGTTTAAAGAAAGGCATGTTATAAGTGAGGATGGGCATCTATATCCAAGTGCACATTTAGAGGACGGCTCTCCCACATGGATGATATGAATGTCTCAACCGACGCAGATAACACAGTAGAGGCTCCATGCTCAACATTTTGCATCATTACAAGGCGTTCTTGGATAGGGACTTTCCCTGATTCACATGAGTAATGGTGTCTGATACATTCCGCCTCTTTTCATCAGGACCTGGGGTTATGTGGAACGTGAGCTGCCTTCCGTACCCAACCACATACCAGTCCTAGTCCTGGCAAGTTTCAGAGACATGGCAGACCACCGCACGGTTGCCGAGGACACTATGAGATACTTCATTGAAAACTTTGACAGGTAAACCAACCCAGGAACATCAGAATTTCTTGTGACTGTTCGTAATTTGTTTTGACTGCTGCTTAAAAAATGAATTTAGCATAACAGTTTTGGGCTGCGATTCTCTCTGTATTCGCTCTTACAATGGTGAAAACGAAATTTAGCTTTGGTTATTCCAATAAAGAGTACTTTCCATGGTAGGTTACATCTAAAGTGTTCCCTGAAAATGGCTCATTGCTAATGCAATCCTAGCTAAGTGCCTAGCCAATGAGGATGTAGTTTCAAATGGGATGGAGATTATAAGAGGCGAATTGGACTGCTAAGAAAGCAGAATCCGGGCAATGAAAATGATTACATGAGACAACATTTGATTGATTGATTGACTGTGCAACAACAAACAGAACTGTGGCTACATGGCTGGCACAAGCCCCTTAACCCTAACCACCCAAAGATTGCTGGCCCTAACCTTCCCCATTCACACAAAATTAAACACCCATATGGGACTTTGCGCACAGAGGTTGTTGGACCCAATGCAAAAGCCAGCTGTTATGGGCCGACCAGACCTATCCCCACAGAATTAAACACTTTGCTACTGTTTAATTCTGTGTGGTTGGGGAAGGTTAGGATTAATGGAATCCAGTTCTGCCAACAAAATCCTTCACACCCTCCAAAACTTGTCCATGTCTGCATTCAAGTCAGGACTGTCATTGCCAATCTCCTGTGCTAACTGTTGTAATAATATTTTTAATAATAGCTGCATGGCTGCTTTCCAAAAGCAGTCAGTAAATTGAATAAAATACACCGGTAATGAGTGGATTCAAGATGTACAATAAATTCTCTTTATCTTCAATCGAATTTCTTCAGACCAGAAGGCTCTGCCACGGTGCTACTCGCCGAAGCCTCCATGAAAAACGGTTTTGGACTGAAATATCTGCACACATTCTTCAACGTTCCATTCCTGCAACTCCAGGTAACTGTGACGTAGCTTTTATGGAATCAGTCTCTGTACCTTTCCATTACCTGCCTTGGTTTTTATATTGCTGTAAGTAATATATTTTGGTTGAGGCCAGTTTTTTAGCTGGTAAGGCAAAATTTGTCAAGTTCAGGAATTTGGCTCGTTAACCCTCCTATGCTG